CAGTTCAGATCTGCGGTAACACCCCCACGCTCCCTGAACTCTGAAGTGAAATAACAGATTCTATTTCTCTCCTGCAAGCTATTTTGGTACCCCGACACACACATCTTCCACCTCGAATTACCCCCCCTCATTCCCTCCCACCCACTGCCCCAGAAGAGACTGTCCTATCTGTACTCTGCACTGGCATATTCTAGCATGTTCCATCCGGCCATCATGACATCACTTTCTAAATGAGTAGACACATGAACATGAATACACACATACGTTGTTCTGGTGATTCACAGCTTGAGTCAGCCAGTGTCCAGCTGCATCTGAGTCCTACTGAAGGCTCAGATCTAACTCAGCTGTTTGGGGTTTTAATAGATATTAATCATGTTTCATTTTAAGAGAAAAGGCGTGTTTACTCAGACATACTTCTGAAGGGCATAACTTGTTATTGTTATGTCTTTATTAGTGATTAATACATGATTTATTAAAGCTATCAGCCACTCTAAAGTATAAATGAAACTAACTTTGGTGGGTTGGAACACAAATTTAAAGGAATAGTTCAAGATTTTGGGAATTTTTTTGTTTTTCATTTTTTAAACAGAGTTAGATGAGAAGCTCAGCTTAGTGTACAGACTGCTGCTCTCTAAAGCTCTAAAATATCCCAACCAAGTGTGAACCTATTGTGAAGTCACCCATTGGTTTGTGGAGTACCGTTTTGAAGCCTCGAGTTCAGCGTTTTGGCCGTCACCATGACAGTTAGACGGAGCTAGCAGAGGTGACGTACTCCGAGTTAATCTGCGCGCATTGGCTGCACAGTTTCAACTCGTCTGTAGCAGGATACAATGACTCACTGAGAATGACTTGTCAAGCTCAAGGTAGCTACGCCCAAAAGCATACACAACTTTATCTTTTCATCTTTAACATTATCGTTATGATGTACAGAAGAAGAATGATTTAGCGATTGAGACCATAAAGTCATTAGGAAACTGCTTACTGAGCTCATAAATTAAGTAAGCGGTCAGCTCATTTCTCCATTAGAGTGAATAGTATCGTTTTTTATTGCAGCCAGTGGAGATCCCCCTGGCTTCACTTTACAGACCCAGAAGCTCTGTCCATTATATATACTGTCAATGCTACCAACACATCTAAAGTTTCAATTACGAATGAGAAAACATTATAATTTTACCAGGATATAGTCCTGTAAGTATTCCTGTAAGTATAATATTCCTTTAGTTGATGTCGGTCAGGGAAGAAGCACTCAGCTATTTTCCTTTAAGGTCCACTGTGTATGATTTAGTGGCATCTTGCAGTGTAGAAACATGGTGGTTCAACATGGTGGTCTCTGCAGGAGAGGACCCGCTCCCTCCGTAGATAAAAACAGTTCATTCTAGGTAATGAAAACACAACTATTCTTATTTTCAGGTAATTCAAGTTTTATATGATAGATATATAATGAAAACCTGCCTATGATATATATATTATTATTATCTGTCGATAGATCATCATAAATGTTACACACTGGAGTAAAAGTAAAAGTAAAAGTAAAAGTAAAACAGTAACTCAAACTCAATTACACATAAATGTCCTACATTCATATTGCTATGGTAAAAGTATTGTCAGAAAGATGTACTAGTAAAAGTACTTTGTCACTGTTATATTTTTATATATAACCAAATTTTTACATCTGAAGCATTAAAGTACAGTCTAAGCAGAATTTTATTTTGTTATAGCTGGTGGTTTTATAGTTCAATCAATAATAATGCACCGTATTTTATTAAGTGGTCATACGTAAAAAAAAAAAAAAACTTTTGCACACCCATGGTCCAGTTTTCACTGATGTTGGCTGTTAGACCTCTTCTGAGGACTGTGTGGGTGTATACAATTGTGGTTGATTGACAGCTCCGTCATTCGTCTGTTGGTTTTGTTGCACCTGCGTTCAGTCTTATCAGTAACGGAGTCACATAAATGTGAGTGTAAGAGCGTGAGAGTAAAAACACCTGTGTGGGTGTTCAGCTTTAGCTGCCAGATTAATGTAATGGATTGAATGTACAATATTCCCTTTTGAAATGTAATGAAGTAGAAATATAAAGTTACATAACATAACATACAAGCGCCTCAAAATTGCACCTCAGTAGTTGTAGTTTACGTTTGATCACTTTTGTATAAGTGCATATATTGTTTTTTTAACCAACCTACAAGAGCTCCTCCATGGACTGTATGACTTCTTACTCAGTGGAAGAAAGCTTTAGCACACGCAGGCCAAAAAGCATTCATTACTTTGTTGCTCCAGATTTTCTTGTCTTCATTATTATCCAGGGAAAACCTTGTATTTTCCATTTTTGTTCAGACATGTTTTTGTGTTTTCAGACATGTTTTCATGTTCCAGTTTCTGTGATATGTAGGAAATGTATCCAACCTTTTATCCTCATAACTCAAAACCCACCCACAAAATGCATTTTGGGGATACAAGATGTTTACCTGATACTGCAACTTATGACTCATAGTGCTGTTATTTATAACGGCAGACTTAATGGACAAATGTAAAGTGTGGGTTTCCTCTTTGTGGAACACTGGGTGTTACAATACACTACATAATAGCTATAGGTCACAGTTGTGTGGAGTCTTTCCCCTTTAGAAGAATTTGTGATGAACTTGTGGACGTTTCTACCCCGGCAACACAACAACACACAGACGATGACCCACACATCTCCTCCAGCTGAAGCTGCATTGTCAGCTTGCTCCAATCATGCAGTTCAACTAAAACATGTGTTTCCCCTTTGCACCTTCAGGATGATGTCACATCCACAGAGTCATGTGCTCCCCTAGTGCAACTTAATTTAAAACATCTTCATTTCCTGACTCAGGTCAGTGTGCTCTGGATTGAGTCTTAAAAGTTTGTCTTGCATCAGGGGAGACAACATGGAGAGAAAGTATGCACCAAATAGAGGCACAAAGTGAGAAACTCCCCTTGGATAATGGGTAAGTGGGACATTATAATCGCTCCCTTGGGTGAATAAACCCTTTTTCAGGAGAGGTAATAGCACAGATACCAGGCCAGGGTGAGTTTGATTTGTGTTGTGGCAAGAAATTGTGAAATCTCTGTCATTACTGTGTCTCAGTCCTGTCATCACCCTCCTTTCATACACACGTGTGCACAGAACCTCAGCCCACACACATACTCGCCAAATTAAAGCCCAAATTAAATGTCTCAGAAATCTCACACTATTATACCTGAGATAAAAATCTACCTCTCACATCTAGACATGGTAGTAACTGTATCAACTGTACACCTGCAACAACTTTTCTGTTAAACACATCAGCAAATAAGTGTAATAGTTCTTTATTCATACTGATGTTATTGAATATAATAAGTAGATGAGGGTTGCAGCAAGATAGAAACTGGTGGCAGTGGAGCCATCTTTACAGTCTTAACGATCAATAACCATAATGATTGAAAGGAAAAAGAAAAAAGAAAAAGAGATTGCACTCTGGGTCTTGGTACCTTCTGGAAAACACTCATGGCTGCTTGAAAAACACACATCACACAAAAGGAACAACCTGCCTGACAGCACAAAACACTTGAACATTGTGCCAAAACAAGCTGTGCCAGTGATCATGACAGACTACCAGGATGTTAGATCAAAACTTCCCTATCGGAATAGGCCAAAAACTAGCAAGCAAAAAAATAATTTCCAGTATGTTTACTGCTAAATTGTGTCCAGAATATCAACAACATTGTGTCAGTGTCCGCCAAACATTTTTAACTGTTGAAGCACCATACTGTTATTTTATATAGTGGAAGAAAGGATAATCATGTTCTGGGATAAATGAATACAATGGATAACAGGTAATAGATAAGAGTCAAGCACTGAAAGTTTCCATGAACTGTCTCAGTGGAGGCGATGGTAAATAGGAAAAGCCCATTAGGAAACATACTGCCATTAAGGTCATTTGTAGAAATTACTGCACAGAGCTGCGGGAAGAGATCATGACCCTGAATACACACTTGGCATCATCAATCACTATCCGCAACTACCAAACCCATTATCTACCACTTACACTCACAAGATGACTCCATCGTCTTTACTTGAGCAGTTGTTCTATTGTAAAGACTCAGAAAAAAGAGACAGTGGCTGCAACTAGTAACAGTAAACAAGCTTCTGTGCAAACAGACTTCAGGCTGCTCCAAAACCTTCAGTGTCACTGCATGTCGCTTGTTTTTTAAATCTGATTAAAGGGCTATTCACTGATTTAGTATTACACTTTAAAGGGAATATTGATGAAAATTGATGCAGCAAACACGGAGATATTCTGAAAAAGCTGATTCCTACTATTCCCATAATGCAATTTGATAACATTTGTTAGACCCTTCCTGCCTGGTGAATACCAGTGTCTTTCAAACTCCTGCCCAGAGTTTGTAACACAGGCTTTTTGTTCAGAAATTCTAGTCCCCAAGCTGAGATAAAGTCTGAGAAAATAACCCTGATGATGTCATTAGGGTTATTTTCTCAGATTTTAGAGAGGTCCTTCAGAGGCTACTCCACATGACAAGTAAACTAATCTTTGTATGTAAAATTGCCCCTTTACTTGCATTATTGATAGGAAAGTTTCACCAGCACATCAGTTAAGAAGGGTCCTGCATTATTGGCCACTGTTGTACTCTTGTCTTGTGGAAAGACACTATGTCACAGTGTGGGTTTTTATATTTATATTATGCTAACATCATGCATATTCCCAATAAAGTTGTGTTTAATCACATTACCACAAAATAACAAAAAGTAAGTATTATTCCAGCATAGGAGAACTGGTTGCACTGGACTTAATGTTCACTTGGAGGCGACAGGGTACACACGCAGTGCATAGAGTGTAACCCTGCGGTCTCCTAACAGGTTAATCTGGCAATAATTGTAAGGGAATATGACACAAAGACTGGTGCCAGTAAACTGACACTGTGACCGTCACCAGTAACCATATTATATATATATATTATATAGATTTATGCAAAGACAAGGCAGTGTGTATATATAATCTTTAATAATGCCACATTTCTAATGCAGTCTTTCAACAGCTGACTTCAAAATTTAGTTTGAGTTTAATGTGGAGAAGGAATGAATGGGTATGAGGCACATGTGGCAAAATAAACCTTTTGTTCTCAGTTTGCACAGTGGATGTAAATATTATAAATAACTGCAGCTACCAAGGCTTGTGAAGATCCAAGGTCTGTTCATAACCTATACGAGCTGTGCCATTTCCACCATCTCCGTCTTTTGACAGACTTAACCATTCTAGCTATGCCCGTAAAGATTTTTGATTTTGCTTAAATGACATGGATATGGTATCAGTCAAGCAAACAGTGCAGGGTTTCCAATGGTAACATGGGTGGGAGAACAGGACAGCCTTTGTTAAAAAGCTTTAGTATCACTGAGGAGAGAGAAGCCATTGTGCTTTAGAAAAGCCTCCTTATGGTTCATGTCCTCAGATTGAAATGGATCCCCAGCCTCAGTTTAACAAATGCAACTCACTCCAGACGAGAGTATATGCATTTAATTGGGCCTGGTTACTGGAAATGAGCCCCCTTGTTGTCATCAGCTTATCGGGTAAAGGACAAACAGCCTCCCACCCATCCCATGCATCCAGAGCAAGATAGGACAAAAGTCAAAGCTAGTCCCGGGTTCAATGAAAACCTGCTGTTTACAATGGCCATGTGAGAATATACAACTTGACTGTGTGAATGGAGCCGTTCAGATAATGAGCAGTTTAAACTAAGTGCAGCTCTTATAACCGAAGATTAAAATGTCAACAATCATTATAGGCCATGGTTAAAATAAAATAACCACAATACAAAAAAAAAAACAGTATTTTTTTTCCTTTTTTAATTTCACAAAAATGAATGCTTCTGTTCCTGAAAAGAGAGACGGAGTAATCTAGAAAACACTGAATGCATGGTTTTCACTTTACAGATGTTTTTAGAACATTTCAACATGTCATGGTTCATTTTAGGCACTTGGAATCATAACAACATTCCCTTTCTGAACAACAAATACATCTTTGGTCCGGTATGTAATTTTTAAAAAAATTACGAAAATTATGAAAATAACACCAGCTTCAAAGTTTGTCTCTTCAAAAATGTATTTTTGACATATATAAAGCTTCATATAGACTTTTTTTTTTTCTTCAATACTTAAACAAGATATTATCGCTACATCTCAGAAATGACCAGCAATCTTACAGATGTTTTGCAAGACAAAACACATGAGAAAAATTAACATGTCGGCTCAATCAGATGTACAGCAGTACAGGATTGTTTAAGTCAAGTCACATTTGGCAAACATAAGTTTCTTTTTTCCTTTTTTTTTTGTATTTTCAGTCCACTTCCTTTGAAAGACACAGAGCGATGGAGACGCATCCACCTCTGCCCCTCTTAACAGCCGCTTCAGCTACAGGGCAGCCACGTCTGATATGAATTACTGCACGGTGAAACCTGCGGCGGCTGCACGTGTGCAATGTAGTAATTACTGAAGTTGATGTCCTGCACGTACGGAGCTGGCTGGTAGTAACACGTGACATTTGTTACAGTGGGGATGGCGTTCTGCTCAGCCAGCACTTTCAGCGCCAGCATGGAGATGAGGCTGAGCGTCTGGCGCCGCTCGTGGCCCATCAGACACACGGTGCTCTCATTCACCACTTGGTGCAGAGTCATCAGGCACTCGTACCGTTTGTGCTCCATCCCAGCAAAGTGGTTTTGCAGGTAGGCCTCCAATTTCCTCTGCTGCTCTCCTATGTCAGAGAAGTCAATGAAGAAGCGTGAGCACATGTAGCGCTGCATCTGCTTCATGTCCGCCTCCGAAGAGGGCCTGAACCCTCGAACCCGGAGGTGGCAGTACTTCAATAAGCCGCCTCCTCTGATTTCTTCTGGGCTGCGTGTAGCTATGGTCCTCTGACACAGGTGGTCAATGGCCTCCTTGAAGTCCCCGTAGACGCTCTCCCCGATCACAGTGGGGTGAAAGCTCTCAGACATGGGCGTCTCTGAGCAGCGGTCAAATAAGAGAAGAGAATCGAGACAAATCTGGAAGGAGTCCACACTGAATTCAAACTGCCTCCGTAAAGAGTCCACAAATTTTAGCTCCACATTCTTGCCCGTGTTGTTGGACAGCGAGATGAGGCTCCAGCGGTCCGTGTCATTACAGACTTTCACTAGTTTCTGTACATAGGCCTCTTTGAGGGTCAGTGCCGAGATGCGCTCCTTAGAGACCCCGGCTGGCAAGAAGTCAAACAGGCAGTCCAGCACGACGTCCTTCACCAGGCGGAAGGCCTGATCATCTTTCAGTGACACACCAAAGATCAGGTCCAGGTCCTTATAGCCCAGTCCAGTGTCCTGGTGGAGCACATGGCTGGCAGCCGAGCCGTTCAGCCTCACGTCCTTAACACACACACCTCTCTCCTCCAGCCTCGCACGCACCACCTGGACAGTAATGAGAGAGAGACACAGCATGTTATTAATGATATACATGGATTTAAACTGTACTGTTCTCTTTTAAAAGTCAAAATATGCTACCAAACGCGCTTGTAGTTGCAGAAAGAGACACAGATATCTAAAAAAGACTCAAGTTAAACTTTTGAAATATGTCCAAATAAGCTCCACATGAGCCTAGTGGAAATCAATAGTTTGTGAAAGCAAGATCAATACTGCTGCTCACAAAAGTCCATTTCATCACCATCAGCCTCAGTCTGAATGAAACCTAAAGAGCCCAAACAAAAAGCAGCAGAGCTGGTGAGCCTGTGCTCCAGGTCCATCTCCCTCTGGGTCAGAGTGTCTTATCTTATCACACTGATAACGTTTATAATCCCGAACTGCAGCCGAGAGAGTGAACACCAGTGTGTGATTGTCACAACCTCAGGTCATTGGGGTCAACAGCGTTTCCCTTCCTCTGTCCCAGTGACCCGCAAGATGTTTAAATGAACGTGTCTCGGCTCAGTGCGGCCACACTGGGAGGGAATGAAGTACAGCTGGACAGGGTACGCCAACATCACTATTGTCATTTCCCCTGAAGGGATATGACAATCCACCGTAAAACATTCGGGTCTCAAAACATTCAGAGACGATCAAAGTGTTCAGTGGAAACTTACATCTGAATGATATGACACATCAACAACTAGCTGCCGCTTCCTTGTTATATCTGGCAAACTACTTGAGAACATTGTCATATTCAATAAGTGTATACACAGCAGGAGCACATGCTAAAGCTGGTAAATGTAGCAGACCGTGACGGGCACAAATGAGACAACCCTTTCCACTGAATATTATCTCCATAATATTGAAACAACAAAAACTGCAGCTCAAATTAGTTGTTACACACTCGCTCACAATCCTAAATCTTCCCACTGGCACTGACCTGTCAGATTAGTGTCTGTTAACTCTCTCTCCCATGGTGATCAGATAACAAGCTGGCTCTATTTATACACACTGGGTCAGGCTACAGACAAACAAACATTTGCAGGCAAGTGAACCCCTCACGTAGGAGTGCTGAAAATCATAATAGCATGACTTGGCAGTAATGGCGTTATAATCATACCATAAAGCGGTGCTGATTGGGTTCAAATTCCAATCAGAAGCAATACTATTGTGGTTTTTGTGGACTTCTGATATGCCGGTGCAGTCAGAGCTAAATTCAGGGTCAGGCCTACACTTAACACCTCTCCTCCCATACATACTTGAATACAGCTGAGTGGATAAGCCCACACTGCCCCTGGAAGCACAGATATACCTCTGCTGACTTAACAAAGCTGGCCAGAAACACGACTCCTGTTTAATCAAGTCTATCTCACTTATTGAGAAAGAAGAAATCAATAAAAGTGAGTGGAATAAAGTGACAGGGGTCGTGCCATATAGAGCGGGCCATTCACAGGCCACATGTCTGAGTTGCGGAGCAGCTAAGAACAGAGGGAGTTGTTATCTTAGATCTACAGTTACAACTCTGTCACTCCTTGGACTCTAGAGCTTAATGATGCTGCAGAAGCTGCAGGACAAAGGTCCACAATCTCAGCCGTGCATGACAGAAGAGGCAGAACTACATCATCAAAACCGATCAAATGTACATTTAGGCTAAATAGCGTCATCCCAGGTTGTCCTGAGAGGCAATTTACTGTTGACCGATGTTCAGCCAACCGCTAAATGCATTTATGTGACAGATATATGGGGTTTCCACAAATCCAGGGGAAACAGAGTCCCTACATTTGGGGCTCAAACTTGCATTTAAGCCTCCTGCACACTCAATGAAGCATTCATCTTTCCACAACCACAAGCATGAAGCTCTGGGATTCACAGGCTTATTGGGCTCATCTTGAATATGTCAAAGTGTAAATGAATAGGGCGGAGGGTTATACAACATGTTACCTGACTCAACTTTGACGTTAGGAATCGGCTATATGTTAATTTTGAAATTCTATCATGGCACAGTCGCCAGCTACCTAGAGACACCACAGGAGAAGTGAAACGTGATCCAGCCCAATGCATAAAAGGCTGGAAATGTGGAGGACTTTGACATGTGTCTGTTACATACATTTTGAGTCAAACCAAGGGAGTTGTAATGACAGTATATTCCTCACAATGTTTCTGTTGTTTGAATGTGAAAATGATAGCCAGTCATTCAAATCAGAATGAAGAATACCTTTTCATTCTGCTTAAACATTGGCTGGAAAAATAAAAACTTTCATTTAGTGTCACCAAGAGGCAAGATACATAGATAATCATACTTTCCCCTGCAGATATTTCTTGAGAGAATAATTTCTGAAAGCATACAAAGCCGTCCTGGGAAGAAAATTTATTAAAAATGTAAACTAGCCTCAAAAAGAGAAAACACACCAAGCTAAATTCTCATTTATGTATCAAGGAAATACAATTAAGGAAGGAAGCATCCAAAAAGCATACATAGGTTATATCCTGGGTTGGTCAGTGGCTCTCAAATTGGGACTTGGAGACCAAATGAAGTGCAGTGTAATCTTAATATTTCATTCATGTGTTTTCACACAACCAGAACATGTAAGAGTGACTATTTGATCCACAGGTTTAACTACAGTCACTACCCACCTGTAGTGTAATACTCAATTTCATATTTATAAATAGGCGATGAATACTGTACTTCTAACTAAATCCAAAAATGCTCAAACTTAAATTAAAAACTTAAAATTAAAATCTATACACAAACAGTGTAAGAATGTAAATGTGTGGGTTAGTACCTGCACAATCTGGCGGGGTTGCACAGACAGAGTGGGGAAGTTTCCCCGGCCGTGGATGGGGACAGCCTCCCCCAGGATCGAGTCCAAGCGCTGCACCTGATCCCAAGACAACACAGAGAACCGCCGACTCTGATCCGACGCATCACCGCAAGACATGGCGATGTTACCGTTCATTCCCCCCCTTCCCAAAAAAAAAAGAAGGAAAAAAAAAGGAAATTAGCAATCAGCGCTTTCCTCTCAGCTGAGCTCAGCGTCTTCTCTCTTCAACACAAGTAAGATATTCCTGCGGATGTGATCAGCTGTGAGCGGATCCGGGTCTTAGTGTTGAGGTGAAGAGTGGAAAAAAAAAAGTTAGTTGAGTCAGAGGTGTGGTGGTGATAGTTGGATCGGCCGTTTCCTCCGGTGTGCGCCGCTAAAATCCGGTCAGTCTGCAAAGAACCGATTCATAAGAGGGTTTAAAGCCTCCTCATTAGCATGCGCCCTCTGATTGGCTGCTGTGTTTGGTCATTGATTATGGACGCCCTGTCTGCAGGGAACACCCTTCATGTGACGCATTTGACAGCCTCCTCCCCATCTACTCGACTCATGCTGCACCCTGCATGCTGCTGACAGGGTTTTCCCTCAAACAGGCCTTATGATCTAATGATCTTATGATCTGCAAGGCCTCAGCTGCAGCATTAGTAGAAAATGAGCATTTAATAAAGTGGTATTTGGTCATTTATCACAGATCAAAACAGATGATAACAAAAAATGATTGATTATAGAGAGCATAGTTATAGTTGTGCAAACACAGCCTCTGCGTTTCATTCCAATGTATTTTTTTTATTTGTCCAGGAAATGTTTGCAGAACATGCAGGATGTTTTTTTTTTACAGCAACGCCCTGCTTCACGGTTGTACACTTCTCAATCATATGGAACTATAGCAATCCAGAGACAACCATAAGCATGGGAAAGAAGGAGACAGACATTAGAGGCCTTGCTAGAGGGCATCCAGAAAATTAATTAACAGTCACAAGTTACTAATCGTAGGCCAGTGTTTCCCAACCATCTTGGCTTGTGACCTCTCAAAACAAAGCATTGTCTACTTGCCACTGTTTTTCTCTTTCATTTGAGTCATTTCAACAGGTCATATTAACCAGTAACAAGACGGATACTGGGGCAGGATCAGCAAAAATTTACCGAAGACCAAAATAAAAAAAGTGACAGTGATAGAGCACAGGTGAAAATAGGAGCCATTTACCAGATAGAGAGGATTGTGGGATTTGAAAGGATTCAAAACACGATCCTGAATTGGCCCTCTTCCTCCTACACAAGTAATATGATTATGCATGCTTGTTTGCACCAAATGCAAATGGTTGTGTGTCTGTTCAACCAACCAAACCATCTGTATCCATATCCGTACTTGGAGTGGCTGGGATGATTCAATTTAACACTCAATTATTAATTTACATTTTTAAATTAAAAGAAAAAGGAAAAAGTTGGTAAGGCAGCTAGCATAGCATAACTAGCCTGAGTGCAGTCACTACAGTTTAGTTTCTACCTTTACTTTCTAGTTCTTGCTAATTTTACATGCTGTCTTTCTTTATCAAAAATTACACCTACACATGTAAAAAAATTTAATTAAGTTGAAATAAGGGTCACTTTCTTGTCTTACCGCAATTTTGACAAAATATGTAAGGCTACTGCATTCTGGCTTTCTATGGCAGTTTATTCTCATTTACACTCATTTGTCTATAATCTTCCAAATTGATATCACAGTATTTGAAAAACGTATGTATTACCCCAACAAAAATAATGTAAAATATACAAGATAATTCAAATGCACTTAATTTTTGCAGAAATCCACAAGCTCCTTGTCAACCCCAGGGTATTTAAACTATGATAGTTGGCTATTAAACCTGTTAAATGTTGCTTGCTAATCACACATTTTATAGGTCCTTATCATTTTTAGTATGTCTATGTTTGAAGTGGAGGGCCTTACCTTTGAGTTGTTTGTTTATTCAACCAATGGAAAATTAAAGGCTACTACCACACGAATAATCATTCATTTAATGTGCTCATGATTGTGAAGGAGCTTATGAAAAGGCTCCGATAACCCGTAATGCCCTTTAAGCTTTCCATTTACGTTCTCTGAAACCCCGCTGCCGCTTCTTTCCACTCTGCCTCCTTATCTGTGGTGCAAATGTTTTTTGTTCTTATTTGTTTTGGCACAGATGCAGAGACATTTCTGTGATCTTAACAGAATATTTCTAAGCTTTTTATTACTGTATGTAATGATCAATCTGAGGCATTAATAATAACTACAGTGAGAGGAGGTCTGAGTTGAATAATGTACTCATGTTATATTGGTTTATGTAGCTGCTGGTAGATGCATTCAGTGTTCTCCAGTTTGTTTGTCCAATCTGAATTTCCCAAAATCTGTCTGTTTCAGTTCTTACAGGAGTGGACTGTGGTCACACCATCACTGTCTTTATAACTAATCCTGTCCTGCATGCAGTCTATTATGTGTTTAAATGCACTAAATATCCCCTAGTGAACGACCTCACACAATGGCAGACATTACTCACAATAGCAGACATTACTCTTTCAGTGGTGAGAAGGCCTAAGGATTCTTTCAGTATGTAATTTGCCTGTGAAGGTGAAAACTTCAGTAATTTCCTCTTTTAAAATGACCCATATATGTCATCATTTATAAAAAATCTCTAACCGCTTATAGCTGTTCACACAGCGTGTAAGTGCACCTGTAAAATGTTTACAAGAGAGTAAAGTTCATTTCATGATTGACCTGTGTTGGTTTTTAGTGATGCAGCAATAAAACACAGACTGACGGAAACACGCACTCTTATGCACTCAGGCACGCACATCATGTCTTCTCTGAGCATATGCATCTGTGTGTTCAGTTCACACGCTTCCCCACTGTCGTCTACGACACGCAGCTGGGCTGAGGCTGACAGTACCGTAAGCCTCCGAGGGGTCGGGTCGTGGGCGTACCGTGGATTTAGTCTCCACGGAAGATCACTTCAAATCCTGTGATGTCAACATAATACAGTTTCCCTGGCAACAGCATCCGTGGTTGTCGGGCAGCTGGGCAGAGGCGTCTCCAGCTGAGGGTCCTGCCAGGTGCCGATGTGAGAGATCTGCGTCATCCAACTATAAATAACCCGCCATGTGGCAGCTGTGCATCCTGGGAGCAGAGCCAGTCTTTACCTGAATGTGAAACACTTGGGGAAAGGGAGAACAATGATGGTCAGACCACTTGACATTCTCAGGTTCCCTCACAGCTGCATGTCAAAGGGAGTTAGTTGGATGTGAAGTCAAGACATTCATGCAGCGGTACAAAACAATTAGCACAAGAACTCCTGAGATACGTTCATTGCTTTGTGTACAATTCTCTGTTTCACCTTTGGTTAATTTATGCAAGTGTCATTGGATCCTCTGTTTACCCCTCAGTTGACATCCTGCTGGAACCATGACAACTGAGACTGTGAGTCTAGTAGGCGCGGTGAGATAGCCAGTATTTAAACACACCTTAAACAAATGATGCATTAGACAAGCGTATGTTCCAGTCCTGACCATGATCAAACATTATGAAACAATCTCAAAGTCTCAAGTATATTATATGGCCCTCCCCCTTTGCAAGTTGCATATGCATAATATGGGTATTGATTACTGTATTCATATATATATATATATATATATATATATATATATATATATACTATGCTATGATATGATACATGATTTCACTAGACTTAAATGAGAGCCTGCTGGATACATGTGGGGGGGGGGTGTTTGCTCTCAAAGACAGATAAAAGACATCAGACAGTTTTTTTTGTCAAATATCTCTATCTGTCTTTGCCTGATGGGCAGTGACAGGAAGAGGAACAAAGCAGGGCTTCTCTCAAGTGCAGGATCATGATTGGACGTCACAGCGTGTTGTAAATGCGCAGCTGAAAATTGATGTTGCCAAACAACAAGCAGTGAAGTGTCACAATGATCAATTGTGTGAAAGCAGATAACACTCCGTCTGTCACACAGGATGAGTTGTGAAGCCCTTTTCTTACCAGTCTGTCAGAGCTCCTACAATCTAAGTGAATTATTTCCCCCAAAAAGACTTCATCTCATCTGTCACTGAGCACATTCAGACCTGTTATACTAGAAGACCAAGTGTTTGCTATTATTAGAGGGCGTATCACATGTATTGCCATAGCTAAAATAGCAATGCAGCTGTTGCTATTACATTGCATGTCTGACATTACACTGCGTGTTTAATTTTCTATTTCTACTTTGATTTTGTGAATGAATAAACAGTTTGTTTGTGTCAGAGTTTCGGGCTCAGTCTGCCATGGCAGCAGATTACCGGTCTGTACAACCAGGTTGAGCTGACCAGTCAGGCTGGACACTGCGGCATACCCATGATAGAGTGCATGATAAGAGAGGTAAATTTACTTTTCCGGATTGCTCCAGATGACAAATCTATGGGACAGTGGAACGAAGGTTACGCAAGCAGCCGTGCTTCTGACGTCAGACTCCCTCCGCTGCCTGCTTGATTGATTACAGTAGTGCTTGGCAGAGCAGACTAGTGTGCTGCTGGAAAAAATAAACACACCAAAACACACTATAGCTTCAGGTGGTTAGATACATCAGCTCTCCGCTCTGTCCACAGCTGGACAGTGAAATGGAAAAATACTATAATAATTGTGAAGAGGCAAACACATAGTATTTGGTGTTGATCTGTTGTGAGCGTTGTTAGTAGACTGGAATCATGACTTATGTTGCCTTGTTGTTACCCAAACCCATTTTAGGTGTGTAGAGATTATAGTCTTTTGCAAAGATTAAAGGGGACCTGTTGTGCTCCTTTCCAGCTCTATATAAACTATATGTATCTTTATTCTGGGATTCCACTAGAGCACTGCATAATTCACAGTTTAAAAAAATGCCTATTTACCTTATATTGGCCCTTTATAAAGCCCCTCAGTTCATCCTGTCTGACAGAAGCCATTTTAGCATGTCTCTTTAATGCTTAGTTAGCTGTGCAACTAGTGGTGCTGTTATCTTAGCTGAGTTTGCCTGGACTGGGAGCTCGGAGCTCCGGGACAGCGTTGGTGTACCACAGCAAATACAGTAGTTTTATGTTAAATGAGCAGTTCTGTTTTTTCTTTATTTTTACAATAATATATAACCGGTGGCATTATTTCTACCTACCATTTTTTACAGGCTCTGCCTGTCTATAGTTATGTTCTATAGCCAGGGTAGTATATCTTTGGATAAGAGAGGTTATTGCATAGTTGAAGTGCTCTAAAGTTCAACGGTCAAATATAGTGTTAGGCTATGTATTATGAAAGGCTCTGGAAAAGGAAAAAAACGTATGCTGAAGTGCCTATACAACAAGGAAAGATAAGATATTCCTTTAGAGTGTCTGATTAAATC